TCTGACTCTCAACAGATTCCTCTGCCTCAGAGATGTATTGGGTTTTTGGAAAAGTCACGTTGCGTTTTTGCTTGAAAAACATATTTCATGACTTTTCCAACCAGTAGAAATTAAGGCAAATACTGTGTTTATGTAGCCTTGAACAGCAGCACAATATAAATACAAAATTTCACTGGTCAGTTAATGTCCCAATCATTGGAACAACACAATTTTCTAAAATATCAAGGGTGATTGACAACCACTGTTTTGTTTGGAGAAGGTCTGCACTTTGCGTCTGTAGGGATAGAGAGATTTGAAAAGAGCTGACTGAACCGACTTTATATACATACATATGGGAAAGTTAATGAGTGGAAAGGGTGTTATGACAATCATATTTTGTAACTGGATGATGGAGCCCTTCACAGTGAAGTGGTACTTGAGGATGATGTTTGGGTTCCCGGAGGACACCTAGAGAGAGCAAGTTGGAAGTGTTGGCTGGTTGGTTGGGGCACGAGGTAGGTTTCAGGTTGTCGAAATGTGGGTAGATGTGATGACTCAGGGAGAATATAGGTCAGAGGATCGCCAAAGGTGAGCCTTGAAACATCATAATGGGGTAAAGAGCCCCGAATTAAGTGCAGGAAAAAGGCATTTGGGGAGACTGGAAGACGGCCCGGGGCGGGGTGGAGGGGTGGAGGTGGCGAGCTGTCATGCAGGTTCCTTTCTCTGGGTTGACCCACAACTTCATGAACGCTGATTTTATTTGTAAAAGTACGATGTTAAATTATTCTTTGCCCTTAAATTTTTAAGTTAAATTTCTCCAAGGCATAGTTATCTGAAGCGAGCCTGCCTCCAGCATGGATTTCCAGAGCTCTCGTTGGAACCCTAGCAGTGGTTGGCTTTATCCCAGTTGCATTAATAATTTTAGCACATTCTAAGGAATCCTACTGAGATCTTCTGAGAACCGTTTTTTTTTTTTTTTTTGGAAGGGTTGGGGAAGTGAGTTGTAATTGAAACCTAAATGTTTCTTTCCAGTTATAATCGTTAAGTTTTGTCTCTTTCTTTCATGAATTCCAATTACGTCCAAAACATAGTTTAGGCAATTATAAAATGCTACAAAATTTTCTTGAAAATACAGAAAATTGAGTAGCAGTGACAACCCATTTATCTACCACTTAAGATTTAGACTTCTGCACACTTGCAGATGTGGGCCCTTCGCTTAGGGCTGTCGGCACAGTCAGGAAGCAGAAAGGGCCAAGAGCTGTGCTGAGGCTGGGGCCAGAGGGCCACAGAATGGCATTTGGTCTTGGTTATGAGCGCGACAGCACTATTGAAGGACCTTCATAAGTGGATTCTTCTTATTCCCTAAAATTCCCCCCAATACTGCAGATGATAAGGGAAGGAGGGGGGACAGAGAGAGGCAGACAGCCGTGGTGAGGCATCTTTAAGTCACCCTGACCCTGACATAGCCAGTGCGGCTCCCAGCGGCTGCTGGGTGTGAGCCAGGCCTCTTGAAGGCCTTGCCCCGCTGGGCAGGAAGCAAGTGTGTCTGGACTGTCAGTTGAGCATTGTTGAGTGTCACGTGTTCTTTTATGAGGGATTGTTTCTCATGAGAAGGGTAGAAGTAAAGAGATTGAGGAAAGAATTAAATTGTGAAACACAACTCTTTAAAATTAAGTTAATTTGGCCCTCCCTGGTGGCGCAGCGGGTTAAAGCACAGCACAAAGAAGCTTAAGCCACTTCCCCATGAGTTCGATCCCCGCCTGCCCTGGAGGTGACCACATGGCACGGCAGACCTCTCCTGACCCGCCCGCTGCTCCCCTCAGCAGTGTGCTTCGTCGATCTGCCTGTTCTGCTCCCCACTGTCTCTGCTGAATCCTCTCACCCTCTGCATCTCTGGTCTGTACCCCAGTTCTGTACGAATAAATAAATCTAAAAAAAAAAATTAAGTTAATTTGGCTCCAAGTCATCTTGTTTCACTTCACTACTAAAATCAGTTACTATTTTACATCAATTACAATTTAGATGCCCACTTTAAAGTAGAACTGAGTGCAGTAATGATGGGTATGAGCTGTGTGTGCATGAATGCAGGTGCCTGCACGTGTTACATTAAGTAAGTTACTTGTGGTCACTTTCAAAGTTTGAAAACCATTGCTTCTGTTGGTAAATGAGTAAATTGACCACCTTTCTCCTGCATTAGCTTCCCATTCAAAATGTTTTGTGCACAGTACTTTATGTATTAAGGATAGATTGTTCTATAAATATGTTTCTTTAAATTTAGTTATAGTTATTAAAATTACACATGTGCATAAATAACTCAAGGAGGCAGATAGAGACACGTTCTAAGAAGCAGTGGCCGTCCTCCACCCTCTTTGCGCTCCTCAGAGTACATCTCCCCACTCTGTTGGCTGTTTCGCTGCCTCCTGCGCCTCAGTGATCACACTGGGCCCCACAGTCACGGGGCTTTTGTCCTTATAATTCAGAAACAAAGTGAATGCTCCATAGCTCTGCTGTTTCGTACGCCAATGCAGCTGTTAGGATGTTATTTCTTTAAAAACTGCCCTTTCCCTGCGAGCAGTTAGCGATGCTCTAGACCCTGCGTTTTCCGCCTTCTCGGCGGTCACTTCTGAGCCTTTCCTGAACTTAAGCTTTTCTGTTTGCCGTTTTGTGAAAAGTTGATTCACTGTGTGGTACGTGTTAGTATAAAATATTTTAACAAGCCTAGACATAAGGAACAAACATTTCTCTAACTTTTGGGACTTTTTTGTTTGTTTTCCCTTGGTTTTACCTCCTACAGCTTGACAGAGTTGTACAAGAATGGGTGAATCTGAGAGCAAGAATGAAAGCAATTCAAGTCTGCATCAGTGCTTTTCATAAAGAACTGTATACTTACTCTGCAATCAGTGTACTTTATTTTAAAAGCAGTGAATCGAAGTATTTGGTGAGCAGGGCGCGGGGCAGACACGTGAGCTTGTGAGCAGATTCACTTCAAGTCTGTGCACTTGTTGCAAGCCGTGGTTCCACTTCAAGCTACCTTTATTCACATGTTCTGCAGAGTCTAGGCCGCCTGAACGCCTAGAGCAGCGTCATGCATCCTCCTTCCTCACAGAAGCACCTGAGGTGCGCGTTCCCTTTGGCAGCTTTACCTGCACTCTCTGTGCTGTGTGACTTAAAGATTCCCTCAGCCCAGAAAGGTCGCTGCTTCCATGGCAACAGAGCTGAAAACACCTCTGTTGCTTGGCTCCGTAGCACTTCCTGCAGAATGCCAGTAGACACAGGCAGGCTGTGGCATCACTCTACGTCACAGCACTAGGCAGGATACTATTTTCAGAGAGTCTATTGTGTGAATCCCCTATGTTTATAGAGAAGCCAGCCTGTGTTGTACCCCTCCCCTCACAAAAAGGGCGAAAAAGAAAAAGGTATTAAATGCAGTGATCTAGGACTTGTGTCCCATTCGATCAGCCATCTCCTCATGGGAAAGACGTTGAGAAGCAAATGTGTGCATCTTTGCATTTTGAGCCCCTGGTGTCGGGACATCCCCCTTTGGTTAAATAAGCTGTCTGGCTTACATGCTGACAGCAGGTGAGCCGGATATGAGGTTTGGGTCTAGAGATTGGTTAGAACAGATCACTCGGTACATGTCGAGAAATAACACTTGTTCAGGATTAACATGTGCATTCGTTGGGATTCTCTTCCTGGAGTGTTTACTTGTGAACTGGTAGGTAGACCCCTGTATCTCAAACTTCCCTGGAAAAACACTCAGACACTCCCTTCAAGTGAAGTTTTAAGCCAAGTCCAAAAGTCACGTGAAGCTGTCGGTGGTGCCTCTGTTTTGGCTAGGGGGAGCTGAGGTGTCTAGAAGCCCCCACTCCCCACTCCCTACTTGGCGGGTAGCGCTGGAGCCCGGGGCAGTCACACACGGGAGTTTGGAGACCTCCTCTGCCATCCCTGTGAGCTGTCACTCATTTCTCAGCAGCAGGTCGCCCAGTAACTTAGTGTGGCTGTTATTAGTGCCTGTGCGGTGACTCCCTTCAGTTTGGTTACTGAAAGAAATTGACTTTGCATGCGTCCAAGTCCCTTCCATTGTTTGTCTTGCTGACTTTTTTTAAATGACGACTTCTTGGCATAGTTGATGTCCTCCTTTTGTATGATGTAATGTAGTTCGTGTATTGGAAATGTTTTCTACTACCCACAAAAAGTGAGAATTTCCCCCTAAGGAAAAAAAGCTAAGAAATTCCAGAAGTTCTTTACCCCCAATGTTTCATCTAACGAGTTCTTTCATGGGAGACACTCGTATCCAGGCAGAAATAGTACACACTGAAACTCTTGTTTAAGGGAGTCGTGGATCTGAGGGGGCACTTAGCCAAGACTCCCTCTCAGGGCCTCTGGAGCTCTGTCAGGCGAGGACGGGTGTGCCAGTGAAGTGGGGCCATACCCAGTGCAACGCACTGGGGTACTGCCGAGCCCTGCAAAGGCCGCCTGGAGAGACCTGCACAGTGACCTGTTGCTCGTGCAAGCAGTGTCCAACTTGGCTCCCTGTCGGCCTTTCTTTCTCAGCCGTCAACTAGAGATGCCCATTGCAATGGAGGCGTGAAGGGGTAAGGCAGGACACCGGGTGCAGTAGACTTGAGCTAACCTAGTACCCCGAGTCAGTCCCATGACCTCACCTGGAGATGGGAGCACTGAGGCCCGGGGAAGTGAGCTCCCCGGTGCGTGGTGCCCAGCATCGCATCTGGCAGCCCTGCCCCAGCCAGCGGCGCCGCTGTGTTCCTCCCCAGGGTTTAGATGGGCAGGTGAAACCCGGCTGCGTCGAAGAGGACAGAGTATTCCTGACCTAAGCAGTCGGTTAAGTTTCCCGCACAGCGGGCGGGTGGGCTGCCCGTTCTGGTGGATCTGAAAGTCGCGGACGGACGGTGCCGTCCCAAGCACTGCCTTTCTGCCCGGAGCAGGGTTTGTAAGCGTGTCTTCGTTGACCCCACTTTTCTCACTTGTGCCTTGTGCTGTGTCCCCAGGTAAAGCAGACAGAGCGCAGCGAGGCGCCTGTCGCTGCCGCCATGCCGTTCCCTTTCGGGAAGTCTCACAAATCTCCAGCAGACATTGTGAAGAACTTGAAGGAGAGCATGGCCGTCCTGGAAAAACAAGACATTTCTGACAAAAAGGCAGAAAAGGTATTTTTTGGGCTTTATACTTTTAACCTTTTGATAAGGAGTAGTTATAAGATGAATTATGCGCTGATTTGAAGAAATCAGTCGAATCAATTTGGGTTTATTTGGGGCTTTTAAAATACAGTCCTAACGTGACATGTGGTGCTGCTTACATTCAGCATCGCCTGGCCTGCCATAGAACATATATTTCTGACATTTTTCTTAGTTTTTCACTTGAGGTTTTCAAGTTTACGTTTTGTGGTTGAAGTGGTATATCTGATGTGTTGGGGTCTGTTCCTACCGGCAGTCTTCCAGGGGAGATGCCGCTCTGCCTTTGTGTCCCCTGTCCCCGTGATGAGCACTTCCCACCACCCGGGGTCCACAGTCCAGGGTCTGCCTTGGGCCCCACGTATGTCTACCTATCTTCTGCACAACATGTCACCATTCACCAAATAGCGTGGGCTTCACCTCCGAGAGTTTGTGAATTGATCCTGATTTCTGTTTCTGTTTGACAAAGGTCCTCGTAACCTTTCTAGAGACATGGGCTCTCTCCAGAATTCCTCCCTGCTGTAACCCTTTGGTACAGACTCCTCAGGTGGCACAGACTCCTCAGGTGGCACAGAGCCATGCATCTCAGGCGAGTGGTATCCTGCCCGGCATTCTGTGCACACCGGCCTCCTGCTTACCTCTGGGCAGTGAAAACGTGTAGTCAGCTGGGCAGTTTATACTTCCTTTGTCTTGTTCTCCCCTCTCCATTTCCGTCTCAGCCTCTCCCCCCCCCCACCTTCATCTTCGAGAATCTACGTTTCTTTTTCCCTGCCGCCCAAAATTCTCCACTCCCTGTCTCACTCTTGCCCCATGAAACAAACTTTGCTGGCCACCTCTGGAACTGCCAGCACTGCCTCCCTCTCCAGCCTGACTCTGTGTTCTGTTTTGTCCTCTTATTATATGGCACCCGGATCACCTGGCACCATGCTGAATGCCTGCTGTGTAGCGAATGAGCATTTGATTGGAATGAAAATTGCCACCTCATCTCTTATTTTAGGAGGTTGGGGGCTGAAGATTAGCTTTCTCTTTTTAAGTCTACAACTGGCTTACCTGTGTTCGTGTAAGGAAAAGAAGTTCACACTCACGCGATCAAGATTTGTAATTACAGACTGTTGAATTAGTGCCCATTTCTGGCATTGGAATGAATCTGCAATTAGTAAAATGTGCTATAATTCAATTTCATTATAGGTCTTACATAAAAGTTTCAGACAACTTTTTGCATGCCTGTATGTAAGAGACGTAGATTAATGTTAATACGATTAAACTTTCTGTGTCTGGCTTGACAGCAAATAGCTCACTTGTGTCTGTGTTCTGTGTGCTAGCATGGTGTTTTGGCTGAAGTAACTATAAGGACTATGACTTCATAGAGATGTATAGTTGGAATGTACTGGCCTCTAGTTAATAGAGGCCAGAGATCACCTCTTCCCCAGACAAACAGTAATCTGGCCCAAATGTTAGTACGACCAAAGATGAGAATTGCTCTAAACCTCATCATTAGTAGAACTTCTGCTATTAGGACATACAAAGCAAAGAAGAAACAGTTGGATTTCTGAAAAAAAGATTTCATTTCAAAAGAGAGAAACAATTCTAAAAGAGCTATCCATGAAAATTTCTTTTTCTGAAATTGATTTAAAATAGAAGTTTATGATTTATTTGTCAAGGTTGAAAGGGAAATAGCAAGTAATGCAAATGGTAAGAGGGAACTAAGACCTGAAAACATGGAAAGATGAAAACCTAATTGCTGAGTTAAAACCATGAAAAACAGCTTTGACATCATACCTAAGAATTAAAAGTTCAAGGTAGCCCCATTAAATCCTCAATGCTTGCTCTGAATTGTTTCTTAGCATTTTCCTCGAAAGTCTAGCCATGCATTTAGAAGTAAAATATATAACTACTGCAAATAAAGAGGAAAGATTAGTGTTGAGGTAGTCATATCCTCTCAAAACACAACATCAGTGCAGAAACAAATACCTAAATGAATATAAAATTCATAGCTTTCCTCAGTACTAATCATAGCTGCCTGGAAATTGTAATTTTAAAAAGCATTAATATACAGTAGCAACATAAAAAACTTAACATGTGGGCCTCCCTGGTGGTGCAAGGGGTTAAGTCTCATGTTATGAAGCTGTCTGCAGCAGGAGTTCTATCCCTGGCCAGGGAGGTGACCCACATGGCACGGCAGACCTCTCCTGTCTCCCCGCTGCTCCCCTCAGCAGTGTATTTCAGTCATTCTTCCTATTCTGCTCCCCACTCTGTCTCTGGTGCACAGTCCTCTGCCACCCATCTGCCTCACCCCTGCCTCTCTGGTTTATACTCAGCTCTTATATGCACAAATCTTTTTAAGAAATTTTAAGATGTGAGGTAATATTTCTGATAGGAAGTAGGGAAAACCTATGTGAAGAAAACTGTAAAACTGAAACAAAAGTACCTGGTCTCTGTTATTGAAAGAGTTATAGATGAGATGCCATTTCTTCTCCATTTCATTTTGGAACTTGGAGCAGGTCCATTCAGCTTAAGCAGGCAGTTCTAGGTCTAGGTAGATGAAGCAGGATCATTTTGTACCTTTGCAAAGAGTGATTCTGAAGTTCTAGAAGAATATGTAAAATGCTCCAAGAATATCTAAAATTCCAAATCAGGGTGGACTTTAAGGAATATAAATCCACCTTTGTGTTGAAGCAAAACACACTGCCCATATCTGCATACACCTCCCCCATGCATGTTCAGTGGGATGCCTCCTCTTCATTTACCAGAATACTCAGTGACTCCTTCACACTTCACAAATCCACTTCATCAGCAGATCTATCCACTTTATCAGATTTTTAACAGAAAATTAGAAACCAGAGGCTAGCCACTTCTCTTTTTTTAAATACCACCCAGGTTTGGGCCACCGTGTCTCTGCTCTTTCTGCAGTGTCCTGACCAATGTCCATTGTCTCCCAGCAGCCAGTGACTCTTCAAAATGAGCCAAAAGTCAAAAACGGAGACTTTTACTCCCCTTAGAGTAAAAGTCAAATCCTTACAAGAGCTGAATTAAGTTCTGCAGGCCAAACGTGCCTGCATCTATTTTTGTAAGATCTGTGAACTGAAAATGACTTTTACTTTAAAGGGTGAGTTTAAAAAGTAAGGAAGGATATGCAGCTGTCTGTCTGCCTATTTGCAAAAAAATTGATCTCATTCGTGCCCATGACCTTGCTGGTCCTTCTGGCGTTGCCCTCCACTGGCCCTCCAATTACACTCCTGCCTTTAGACCTTTACACTTAGCTGTTCCCTCTGTCTGGAATGTTCTCCCTAGCGCTCTGCTGGCTTACTCTTTACACTCATCACTTTTCGCCCAGTGCCCTGTTTGAAACACACGCCTGCTTTCTGGCATTCCTATTCCCATTCAGCCCTATCTTGTTCTGTCTCATATAGCACTTGATATCTTTAATATATTTAATGATGTGTTTATGATTTCTTGCCTTTATTAGCGTATCAGCCTCCCAAAGATAGAGTTAAATCACTATTTGTATTTACTGAAAATGGACTTCATGCCAGAGTTAACATAAAATGCTGTCAGCATGTCATACTTCTGGAATCTTTATTTTCCACTAATGAAGATAAAAAGAGTATCGCCGAAAATACTGGAACAGTGCTTGTTGAGTTTGTGACGGAGGTGGGCTTGGGGTGGCCAGGTGTCTTCTGAGTAGCGAGTGGTGGCATTACATGTGGTATCACAGTTGTCTTCAACGCTACCACCCACCGAAGAAGGGAAAGAATGACTTCTCAAGAGGTGCACCCTGTTGTTCCTGGCATCTCCCACGTAGTTCCATGCTCATTAATTATTTTCTCCTGGAGTTCAGAAGATGCGATTGGGTGAGTAATTAGACCCAGTGAATCAGGTGAACAAACCACTGTTTGTGTCTAGTCAAGCTCCAGTGATTTGCAGGGTACTGTCCTTCTCAACTGCGAGATATTTACTGTCACTGATTGACAGGAGCAGAACTAACAGGCTTCCTTAGTGGAACCTGTGGATGTCAGAGTTGGGGGATAACAAACTTGTTGAATGACTGAATTAGGTACTGAAAGAAGAGTCACTTAACAGAGAACAGTTAGCAGGAGTGGAGGGGGAGGACCTGACCATACTGTTAAAGCATGGTGTGAAGAAAATAGGTCCTGTATCAGTAGTTAAAAATATAGATTAGATGCCAACAAAGGAAATAAAATTGAACCACTAAAAATAGTTGATGAAACCAAAAGAGGGCATAAGGAGAAGAAAGGCGATTAAAGGACAGGCAAGTAGGACAAATGGGAACAAATGGGGAGATGGTGGGCGCACATGAGCCGCTGCAGTGGTCACCTGAGATGGTCTGGACACCCCAGTTGAAAGCTTTCAGACTGGATGGCTAAACTATATGTGCCTGCAAAAGGCCTCCAGCAGCATAACCCAGCATGGTGGAAGTCTAAATGGTGGTGTCTCTGAGAGTCAAGGCAGTCTCTGCTCTTACCACTTCTCTTCAACTTTGTGTCTGAGATTCTAGCATGCAGTCAGCCAAGAAAGATAACAGGCAGGGAAAGTGAAGTAAAACTGTCCTTGTTTGGGTTGATACAATCTTCCACATAGAAAATAAAAGAATCTACAGCTAGGAGTTCAGCAGTGTCACAGGTTACAATATAATTGTACAAAGAACAACTATATTCTGAACGGTAGCAATAAAAAAAAAACAGAATTAAAAAAATTTTTTATAGAAGTAACATTGCATTGTACCATTATATAAAATTAGGTGTTCATTGCAAAATTAACCTTTAAAAATATTATTTGGATTACTATTGAGGAATGTGTAGCACTTAGGTATAATTTGACAAAAGAAATGAAACACCTGTACACTGAAAACTATACAGTATTGCTAAGAGATTAAAAACACCCAAATAACCAGGAAATATACCTGTTCATGGGTTACAAGAGTCATTATGTTTAAGTTATGAATCCTTTCTAGATTG